AATTTAATTCTGAACAACGTGAAATTTTCAATCTCTTACCTGTAGTCCTTCCTCTATGCCTATAACCGTTTTGACTTTCTCTCTTGTTCCGTCCCACAAAACACTCGAAAAAGCTTCTTTCTAATTCCTGTACGATTTTGCCTATAAATATTTTGTACGTTTGCTAAACGTGTTATTTTTGGTATCAACAGTGATGGAATTATAACCGTTTTACCAACAAATGTTAATTTTCGCTTCATCCTATTTGTCAAATAGTCGTCTATATCTGTCTTTTTGCTTCCCCAATTAAGATTCATGTAGACTTGGTATTAGTACTGAAATATACTCCTAATGATTGGATTCCAGGTTTCCCCTTGATTCTTTCATATGTATTACGTCTTCGTTTATTGCATCCTAGTAACAGCCCTTCTGTTTTGTTCTTATTTGATTTCAAACCGGGCAGTTTTCCGAAACTTTCAACCATCTTGATGGCATGTTTGATAGCTCTTTGTTTTAGAAACATAGTGATACCATCCACTAATTGTGATATTTTGATATTTTCCCCATTTTATCTTTTATCTTTTTAGTTACAAATAATTCTACCTTAATTATAGCAATTGAGCGTGATAGTGGACAGGTCTGTCTAATTCGTCGATTTATTGACCTTTCTTTGGTAAACCAGATATTGTTTTAAGCAAAACCATTAATTTGATATTCATACAAAATGTTATAATTAATAAATGACTGTCGAAATCCACACTTTTCCAGGCATACACAAATTTCTATTCTATAGTATCAATACTATTTTTAAATCCAAAAAATGCATTCAATTGTCAATGTCATTGTTTTCTTAAAAATCAATGATATTTTAGATTAGCCTAATATTAAAACCAATAAATCTATGTCTTATTTCAAAATATTTTATTGTCAATACCTATACATTACAATAATTGAATTTACAAAATAAAGTACAGTATAGATGTATTAACAAAAGGAATTGGACAACAGGCTTAAAGCCTATATAAGTCTTTTCCTACAAGTTACAAGTTACCGGAACTGTTTATTTTATTTTAGAGTATAATATAACTTAAGGACGGAAGCTGAGAAGAATAATGAGCATAAATATGAAAATAAAAACACATTCTCACTCATTCTCATACATGTACTGTAAATGAAATTCAGTTAGAACTTGCAATGATATTTTACTTGAGATTTACAAATCGTTTAGTTTTTTAAGATAGGAGCTAGTATTCTCGGGTATAATTCTATTCACGCCGTCAGTCATACCAATGACACCATATTATAAAACTTGAAGATTCACAAACCCGAGAAGATTATAAATAGTGGTAATGTGATGCCTGTAATTTACATGAAGGGGACATTGGAAGAAGTAATGTACTGAGTTCTCTGTAGCAGCACCACATGCACAAGAACCATCATCAACCAAATGATCCATAAATTTATCAAAATCTAAATCACTAGCACTGTTTCGTAACTGACAAAGAATAATATTTAGATTTCTAGGGACGCAATTTAAGAAAATATCAGAAACTATAAACGGAAATACAGTTTTTAGTTTTGATTTGAAGCTAGAGATTAAAATAGAGTTTTAATAGTATCATCAAGAGAGTTCCAACTATTCATAGTGGAAGGGAAAAAATGTTTTTATAATTGTTAGTCCTGGCAGAAGGTACATTGAAGAATCTTTCATGTCTAAATGCATAATTATTGTTTGTATTTATGGAAGGTTGAAGGATATTAAAAAGATACTTGGGTGCCTAATTATTGATAATATCTAACATTAGTGTAAGTTTGTGATTATGTCTTCTAGTTTGTAATGTTTCTAAATATGTTTCAGAGAAAATAATTCTGTGTGATGTACCCCTTCTTAGTCCAGTTATAATTCTCATAGCTTCAATTTGAATAGATTCCAATAAATCATTTTCAGCTTTTGAGCAGTTATCCCAAACTATATCGGAGTATTCTAAAACAGGTCTGATATAAGATATGTAAATTGTTTTAAGGGTATTTCTATCAACTGTATGTATGAGAATTTTAAGTATGTTAAGTCTGGATGAAGCTTTTTCATAAATTTTAGAAATATGATCAGACCAAGTACCTTTTTTGTTAAATGTTAAGCCTAGATGTTGATGAAAGGTTGTGTTCTCTATGTCTATGTTTTGATCTATATGAATAATTTTTGACATAACTAATTTCAATATTGTTACTAAAGCAGATGCAGCAATTCTATAGTCAATATTCAGTAATATTCAATATTCAATGACTTACATTTTTCTTCACATTATGGAAGCATTTAAACATTCATTATCTGCTAGTTTACCGTTACAAGGAACCAGGAAGTATCTGTTACTCCACTTGTAATTTGTATGCATTCAATCATTTCTCTTTCGGGTGACTTTTCGGACTAGGATTGTTTGTAATATTTCTTTAAGGTTTTGTGTTAAATCACCGTTGTTGATTTCAAGTTAATTTATGACGTTTTTGGATTGTCTGATTATTGATAGGCCTAAAAAGTACTTTGTATTGTTCTCTCCTCCTTCTACCTAGCTGCGCTCCTTCGAATATCTGAAGATTGAACTAGATTATTTCTTGCTCCTCATATACATGTATCTACAAGTCTTTGTGATTTTTAAAAAATGTTTGAGACCGTAGTTTGTGTTTTAATTTCTGGTTTGTGTCTTACTTTTTCAATCACAAATATCTAGGACCTCACTGAAGTCTCCTCCTACTATGTTCATTCCTGTACCGTTTTCTTTAACATCATTTAACGAAGATTTGAAAAGAAACAAACATTTCTTTTCTGTTGATGATTAAGAGGGGCTTAGAAATTTACAACTGTTAGTATTTTGTCTTCTACTTCAATATTAAAAAAAAAAAAAAATCCGTTGTTTCTTTTCAAACATTTACAACATTCGCATTTAATTATTCAAAATGATACTGACCCCTTAACTATTTTGTTCCTCAAAGCTGTGATAAGCTATTGAACAATTTTCCAATTCTTTTTTAACGAAGGATATAAGTTCTCTGTTAACTGTGTCTCCTGAAAAAGACAAATATCAAAGTTGTGATATGATACAAACGTAACCTCTTTCCTTTGTCCCGCAGTCCTTGGGGATTTAAAGAAAGAATGTGAATTACATTTTTAGTTACTTGTGTTTTTTCTTTACTTGTCGGTGACGGAGGAGTGCGAGTTTTCCACGGACTCCTCTTTGGTGTGTAAAACCTATTCTCGTCGGTGTCGATTATCATTCTTTTCATTTGGTCGTTCAGATTTCTTTGTGCATTGTGTCTTTTTCTTTTCTGTTTTGCTTTCTGAGTCGTTCTTCGTCGTCAACCCTCAGTTTGTGTTTTTGTTTTTCACCTTCATTTTTCATTAGTTTAGAGCAGTCTTGCCTTTTGTCTTTGCAGAGAAGGAAACAGACATATCGATTTATTCCTGTTATCCGCTGTACCCTCTCCAAAACATCTTTTATATTTATCATTATTGTGTATATCGTTTTGTTGACCACGTGGTTGTCCATACTAACAGATAGTACCATAGTACCTTCCCATGATCATTTTTTTCAGCAGGTGATTTTGAAGGGTTTTTTAATAATGTTATATCCCCTGTGTCACAATCAATCCTTAGCTTCTCTCACTACATTTGAATAATTTCGCATTCTTCCTCCTCCAAAGCTGTTATCCTATCCTCGACCGACAGGGGAACATTGGATTCTGTGATCCAAGTTGTGTTTGCGAGATCGTGTTCGGCCCGTTTCAGGTTTTCTGGTATCAGGAATATTTGTTTACCCCGAATCGGTATACCCCTGCTAAGGGGTGTGACACGATTATTGTTGTTTTCCGGATAAATTCACCTTACATTTCCCGTATGTTGAATACCACTCAGGTTCTCAGCGTTTATCAAATTTCCTACACTCCGGTATACCTCTGTATGATTTAACCATTGTTTGTACGTTGAATACCACTCAGGTTCGCAGCGTTTATCACATTTCCTACACTCCGGTATACCTCTGTAGGATTTAACCATTGTTTGTATAATTATTTTTACGCCATAGATACCAGTCTCCCTGTGGATACAGATTCACATTTTGTGTGTCAGTCTTTATCAGTTGGTCGGCTTCTGGTCTAGATCAAATGTATGATGTATAAAAGGTTTAAAAATTGTGTTTCCTTGTACAACAACCAACGAAACATAAAATCTAACTAGGCACAAAACAACACACGACATGTCAAATGTTTAGAAAAAATTAAGCGATACGTCAAGAAAATAAACGAAGGAGACACCAACTGTGTTTATCCCTAAAACCGATTCACCGTTTTTATTGATAGATCATCTAGATGAATTTCCTTAGTATTGCTTTCTATAATCGGGAAATATGACAACATCTAAAGTCCCTGTGACTTTTAGTTTCTCCGCTCACTTTGACCTTGTTCATCACATATATGTATACATGCGTGACTACTCTGATATACTGTTATTTTTCAAACTATTCACTGTCCAATGCAGGTTATCATGCTAAGATAACTGTTTCCGCTTCAGTGAACACGCGTGTACACACCTAGTTTTCGTTAAAGCTTACCTGAGATTAGTAATGACAGTATATAGCCAGTCGACCTTGACATACCTGTGTAAACCAGAGTGTTGAACATTATTTGGAAATATTGAGTATTCAAATGTCCATTATGTTCCTGTTCCAGGCTTCTCTATTCGGTGTTAAACACTCGGACAGACGGACCTGTATTTGTACCAATGTGACATCATGATATACATGATGTGTACAACTATGTGCCATTACGGTTTCACCTTCGTCATGCTGTGTTACCTGACAAATGATACACCTGGAGCCACGTGATGTGTAATACTTAACGTTTAAACCAGGCCGGAGGATAGTGATACAAAGTCGGCACTAAATTTCTAAGAATTGTGAAATGACCAACATTGGTCAGTGTGTTTTCAACCAGTATTATTAGTTGGAGGGATTACGGACACGCCCATCGTCATGTGCTGGTTCTATGGGTTTGTTTACATTTGGACGAATGTCGTCGTGTGTTTGGCCTCTAACCAGTGTCTGTATACGGGCGGCCACTGTAAGGACAGAACCATCTCCACTAATGGCACATTCAACATTGCGATCGTTGCGAACATGCACGAGACTTTCGCGGGTAGATATTGCGGGAACATATCGCCCCAGGGGTTCCAGACCGCGATGGCCATCGAATGGATTACAAATTTGGTGAACAGTTATTACATGCCTGGGATACCTCTGGGTAAGTCTACCCCCACCCAGTCACTTCCTATTACACGCCTGGGTTAACCTCTATTACCGTATATAAACAACTCTCTAAAACTAAATCCGACAAGAGGTTCGACATTATTTGGGCTACAAATCAATCAGTATTCATATATGTACCTAAAAATACTATTTGCATACACTCAACTTAAGAAAGCGGGCAGGCTATAGTTCATAACATGACTGACAAGCATGCAGTTTATCAATTTGATAGATTTTAATGTATATATACACTGTACATATTCAGTGCTTGTGTTGTGACATATGATAAGTATTGGTAAATTGAAAGCTGATCACCACCACAGAATTTTTTTCAACAAATCTAGTATATAGATTCGAAACACTAGTTCAGTATTTCTCTCTGACGAAGTATAAAGTGTGTTATATTCACCATTTTACGTGGAAGTAACGCCATTTAAATACCACTCAGCACTTTTAAAGCGTTTTTCACTAACGCTGACATTGCTACGCTGTTTTACGTGTCTCTGTGTAAATATGTACATGTTCCAAATCTTTGTATGTTGATTCTACAAAGTCGTTTAGAGGCCTTCGTGGAAAAATGCTGACACTAGAAATGGTTACCAAACAGCTGTTGCAACTATAGCATAAGTAGGCTTCCTTCCCTTCCTTCCTTCCTTCTTTCCTTCCCTCACTCGTTTTTTCCTTCCCTCATTTCGTCCTTCCTTGAATGCTCTCACCTCGAATGCATGCCTTTTGATAGGGCATTAGATAATGTAAAGCCTAACATTCCTAGCAAACATTCACAAGTGTAAGACATGACACACTTAACGGACTTCACATTTGTTTGTAGTAATAAGAATAACGTTAAAGATGGTAACATGGTAACAATTTTCTGCCTAATCATCTATCATCAGATAATCAGCCATTATCTGTGAAGTCCATAACAACAAGGAACAATGATTCAAATCCAATGACACCAGGGCAAAATATAAACAAAAGAAAAATTTACATAGAGACTCCAGAAAAAAGTACAAGTAGAACAATAAAAAATGTTCCGGAAGAGTGCGCGTCTTCTGCTTCGTCTACAACTAATTCAGGTCTGCAAATTATCCTGAAAACCTGTCTGTCCTAACCTTATCGTTTTCAAGTATTTCATTTACCTGTTCGGAATCGTCATTCTTCAGAATAGTACTAATATTCTAGTTACCGAAACAATCAAAGGAAATGGTGTTTGAGAGCATTCGAAAACGGTTGTTTCCTATGTCAGAGAAATAGTTTCGACAATTTGACAAAAACTTTACGGTCCACTGTTTCTGTTAAAAAAGAATTTCGTTTCAAATTCCGTTTTCCAGGTTGTGTCAAGTGGCCTTTTGTCTGACTCACATCTGAATTAATGTTTTCCTAAAACACATTCTCAGAAAACATGTTTACCACAAATTCTTGAATAATGTTAATAACTCGGTAATTACGTCTGATACAGAACATATTCTCAGAAAACCTGTTTACGGCCAATTTTTGAGCTATATTTATATCCTGATTCGGTTATCTTCCCAATCAGGAAGTGTAATTTACGTCCTAATTTTTCTGTCGTTCTCACGGATATAATAAACTTCTGTCGTTGTGATATCCTTTTACTACTATCACGTTGGGAGTAAGTAAAATATGAGAAATGTGTCAGTTGATAATTACTGACATAATAAAGACCAGAACTACACGACATAAACTACTAGAAAAATTCATATGATGTATCAATTACATTAAACCATAATGGACAGAATACTAGAATACAGGACATGAATGGCAAACATGTCATTAAAAGGACAGAAGTCATGAAATGATAAAAAAATTACATTCTTTTCAGCAGATGTTTTTTTTTCAGTTTTCAGGTAAATTTTTAATAAGATATTCTACACATCAGAAGGTTGTAAATATAGATAAATATAGATACGAGTTCAGTGTCAGGAGAAGGGTTATATTACGACGAAAATTAAAGCACCGAAGTTTCTTTTGTGACGTAATTAATAACGTAAGTACTTCACTTGTAAAAATAAACATTTGTTTTCCGTTTTAAACAAAATATATTTTCAACCACAAAAGCTGTGTCTATTGGTGAATGACGTAGATTTTATCTAAAGTAAACCATCACGTGACTAGTGGTGGTAGGTCAGTCTCCAGGTACAATAGTACAAATAAAGTTTACAGCAGATTTAATCGAGATAAGAAAGAACGATTGGGTGGATGATGACGTCAAAGAAATCTGAGAAAAACATGAAAATCCATTCGATGGATATTTATAATAACTATTGTGGAAATTTTTATTTAGAAAATTAACGAGAGCAGTATCGTTCAATAAAGATAAGGTTATTTGAACAATAATGTAGACATTTGCTTATTCACTTAAGTAATTTTTTATTGACAATTAATGTACAATTATTCTGACCTTATTTACACGATCCTTTTCCTGGATGATATGACAGTGACAGATTACACAGGGTTTTATACATCATATATATATATATATAATTGTTTAATCCTTGTTCATTTACACAGAAATTTATTACTGGAGACAACACTCACTGAGAACATAACTAAAACTAAATAATATACAGCGTTAGGACACTATAAACACAAATGGTGAAGTTAAAAACACATCACTTCCTAGTTAAACGTAAATGGTAATACCCACGTGATTAATGTACACGGAAACAATGTTCTAACAACTTATACTTACTCCTATGTCATTCTTATTTGACCTTTACAAGGTCATATGATGACCTCTGACCCAAGCTATCAGTGGAATGAGTAAGGTATTTCCTTATGTTACACTTACGAAACACTGTTAATCAGACCCTAATGTCCTGTAAGAATTGCATTCTGTTTTCTCCTAAAAACATTCAAGATATTACAAAAGACAAAAGTTTTAAGTACACATTTAGAATTAGGTGCAGTAGAGACAAATAATGATTTAAACATCGTCATACCACTGTTTCATCCTAAACTCGTCAGCGATGCGAAGGGTCTAAATTTCGATAAAAAATATGATACTACAAGCATGTGAACACTATAATGATAAAAATCAATTTCTTCTGCTTCATCGACGACACCATGTTTATTTCATTGTGGGAAAATATAGAAATATGTAGTTGATGAAGAAGAGGCTGTCGTGTTCTTGATGTTCAGTTGTGGTGGGTATATACGATGGACATGATCTACAAATCTACTGCCATTGAAGACAAGACATCATCAATATATCTAAAAGTGAAACTGAAGGACTTCGAAGGTTTTTGTGACCTTGAAGGCGACTAAAGTAAAAACCAAAATTGATCTAAAGAAATGTCAAAACTTAGAGATTGAGGTCATTGTATGTAAACAACAACAGATGTTCCTACAAAGTAACATGATACTGATAATGTAGTCTGATTCTCTCTTCTATAGAACGAATAGAATATCAATGAATAAACAAATCTATTATCATTGCTCTCCAGTTAAAATACAAGCGTCCTGCACGTGTTGTGACACAGGTTAAACCTTTGTGAATGGCTTATATTCGTCTCTAGGAGATGGACCAGTAAAATAAAGCGGAGAGTTAAATGTATGACGATTATTCGATTTTATTGTGCAGAACCTGGTATAGCCTAGCTAAGACTCGGTATAATACATGCATACCTGTCCCTGTTACCACCAGGCAGTGTGTACAACAGACTTAGGTGTTTGGATTTATAATAGCTGGTCTCACAATTCAATGTACGCTTGCATACACAATTACGTACATGTTTGTATCAATACCATGCTATACTTAGATATGTTCTGCTATGCTTTCCTTCGTCACCCCTCCCCCTTCTCTCTCTCTCTCCCACACACACCCTCCTCCCTCTCTCTCTCTCCCCCCTCTCTCTCTCGCAACCTCTCTCTCTCACCCTCCACCCTTTCTCTCTCTCCCTATCATTCCCCCTCACACTCTCAACCCACCCTCTCTCTCTCTCCCCCTCCCCCCTCTCTCCCTATCTTCCCCCTCTCTCTCTTAATCCCCCCTCTCTCCCCCTCTCCCCCCTCTCTCTCTCTCCCTCACCCTCTCTCTCACCTTCACCTCCTCTCTCTCCCTATCTTTCCCCCCTCTCACTCTCAACCCTCCTCTCTCTCCCTATTCCCCCTCTCTCTCTCAACTCCCCTCTCTCTTCCCCTCCCCCCTCTCTCCCTCTCCCTCCCCCCTCTCTCTCACCATCCCCCTCTCTCTCTCACCCTCCCCCTCTCTCTCACCCTCCCCTCTCTCTCTTACCCTCCCCTCTCTCTCTCACCCTCCCCCCTCTCTCTCACCCTCCCCCTCTCTCTCCCCTCTCTCTCTCCCTCCCCCTCTCTCTCCCCCCCTCTCTCTCTCTCCCTCCCTCCTCTCTTTCCCTCCCCCTCTCTCTCTCCCTCTCTCTCCCTTCCTCTCTCTCACCCTCCCCCCTCTCTCTCCCCCTCCCCCTCTCTCTCTCACCCTCCCCTCTCTCTCTCTCACCCCCCCTCTCTCTCTCATCCCCTCTCTCTTGCTTTGTTTTGTTTGGATTTTTTATCTATGTCATGTTAAGTTTATTGGTAACACTATTTAAAATCAAAATATTATGTAGAATAATTTCAGATGTTTCAAATAAATATACTACTATTTACTCATTACTGCAAGACCTCTCGTTTTGAGCAAGTGTTCATACACACACATATATATATATTTAAGATGAAAAATAAAAATATGTCAAAGTTTTAAGGTTGTCATCAGAATCTCTTTCGGAAATATTTCCCTGTCCGTTATGAAATTAGATGTTTTCAATACTCGTAATTTTACCGGGTAGATGCAGTCTACAAGAGCAGGCATAAAGTTTATTTTAAGGCAAAAGATCAAACAGTAATTTGGTTATGATAATGATATGAAAATAAGGTTAAAATACAGTCTTTTACTACGTTACTGACATCAAGTAGAAACACTCCAAACGATTAGAGACTTGAATGTTAAGTAGTAGGTCATGTCCCCAGGTAGAGGTCACCTTGAATGTCATCACCGTGGCACATTGTAAGGGTGCGTGACATAAATACTATACATGGAGGTTTTTATAACAAAGTAAACAAAAAATATTTACATCAGATAGCAGAAATTCTTTAAATTTCCGATTAAAAGTTTCATTCCAAGCGGTAGGAGAATAATGAACCATGCCGAAATAGTTCTAATCTAGCATCTCCTGGGTTTCGCCACCACGGATGTGTTTTAGAGGGCAACATTAATTGTCCTTATAACTGTAAGTTAGTGTAGGAGTGAAGTAGGAATTTACCTGTCTAGTTTTTAATTACTACTGACTAATGAACGTACAAGAATTACATGTATAACTTGTTTGGTAAAAAATATAGGAGTGGGTGTATGTTTTACATTAAATATTTTTTTTGTAAATATGATATTGAACTAGGGATGGTAAATTTATCAAGTGTCAAGTTTTCTTAACACAGAAAAAAGTTTCCCGGTAATCAACTGATTTCTGTGCACATTACAACCTTAAATCTTCAAAATAACAAATCAAAGGAGTGGTGATGAGTAGACATTGTTATCGCCATATCACCCAATAACAAATGTCGTTAGCCACAAGGAAGACATTTTTCACAAGAATACAGAAATTTTAATTAATTGTCGTGTCAATGCTGCAATAATTATCATTCTTAATTTATTCAGTAATAATAGAATAAGTTTCATTATAACCTCCCGATATACAATGTGTGTTGTTAAAATTTGTAATCAATGGAATTTACATTATAATATCTTAAATACTTAACATAGACGTAAACATTTGTTTTATACGTTTTTCTCATTTGAGAACGTGACATTACTTATTTGGATTGACCAAGGTTTACGTGGCGGATGTCGTCGATGAAGCTTGCTCTTCCGGAACACCTGATCTTATTCTCCTTGTGTTTTTCAGTAGGCTCCGTGAAACTCATTTGTTGCCCTACTTTTATTGGAATTTGAGTTCAGATTATGATTATGTTGACATGTTGGTATTTTCTTCTTGTTTTTCAGGGTTCGAAATTTATGATGATTGTGGACTTCCCGCTTTGGCCACCGACGCCATCATCGATATCATTCCCGATGGAAAACCAGCAGATCTTGTGTCGTGTGATATCACGTCATCAAGCACATCAACATTTACAGGTAGGTGATATCGTGTATCATGACGTCACGTCAAACATTTGGGTAAAACATGAAGCGGTTGACGTGCACAGTGACGTCATGACAATGAAAGCAACGTTGACAATGACGTCTATGTTTAGTCTTAATTGTATGCACTTGATATGCATATTACATATATATTTTGTATACCTACATGTGTATATTCTCTCATTTTAAGTTTTTCAATACAAAAAACCGTTTGTGGTATTTTAATGGTGACTTTCGAGGAATTGATAAACATGTTGTTTATCCCGTAAAGCACATAACAATTCTGTATCATATAAGTTCAGTGTTACATATATTTAGGTTCCATAAGTAAGTATCATTACAACATCTGAAAGGTTCTAATTACATCATCAATTAATATTCCTTCCAGGAGTCCTTGCTATGACATCTGTTGAATCTTCTGTCGCCTTATCGGATATCGTGGGACGAAACATTCCCTTCATTAGTGGGCATGCGCGTTCTCCGACCTTGGAAATGAAAGACAATATCCTGTTTACCGTGCCGTCCATAAAGGAAGAAGTAAAGGTATTTGCGTTAATGTACTGTACGGCTCTGTAACTTAAAACCCGAGTCATTAGGGGTCACTGACTCTAATAACCACAATTTTTATATATACCAAGACAAGCCTATTCTGCATTTAAAAAAATATATTTTTCTATTTTGTTACTAAAATTTAAATGATTTTTGCAATTCTTTCCTCATCCGACAACCCATCCCAGAAATGTCCAGCAAAAGAACGGAATAAGACAGCGTCTTAAACAACTGTTTAATGTTTTTTACTCATTCCCACCAAATTTCTGAAATACAACTAGTCAAGATATTATGTCTCCCAAACATTGTCGCTACACGGATCACTTAACATACTATGAAATGTAGCTTTAAAAGGAATTTCATTAACGAGACTAGTAAACCAAGGATATGTATATCTGTTTATAGTAAAAAGGGATATAATCACTGTTATTATTCTCTGCAGAGAAACATGGTTATAAAAACGAAGCAAAGTTGTGTTGGGTAAAAAAGTGTTGTTTCTGATAACACTAGTATCTTTACGCATTTGATGTGATTGACTACTTTTCTTCTGATCGGCAGACGCCCATGAATATATTCTATGCTAGACACTTGTGTGTCTCCTGTACAATCTTCGAAATTGCCAGTGGTAGACACTTGCCAGTGGTAGACACTTGCCGGTGGTAGACACTTGTGTGTCTCCAGTACAACATTCGAAATTGCCAGTGGTAGACACTTGCCAGTGGTAGACACTTGCCCACTTGCCAGTAGTAGACACTTGCCAGTGGTAGACACTTGCCTATGGTAGATACTTGTGTGTCTCCTGTACAATCTTCGAAATTGCCAGTGGTAGACACTTGCCGGTGGTAGACATTTGCCGGTGGAAGACATTTGCCTGTGGTAGACACTTGCCGGTGGTAGACACTTGTTGGTGGACGTTTAGTCCCCTAGTTTTGCCGTAACTTGTCGAATAGTGGCCCGGTTCAGAGAACATACATTGATTGAGTTATGGGATTAGATTTTTAAAAAAAATCTTTAGTAATCTCAGAGTTTCATCATTTAGGCACTTAGCATCACCAATGAGTCCTAGAAGGACGAAACAGCTGTATGATGTAGCATCACCAATGAGTCCTAGAAGGACGAAACAGCTGTATGATGTAGCAATGAGTCCTAGAAGGACGAAACAGCTGTATGATGTAGCATCACTGACGAGTCCTAGAAGGACGAAACAGCTGTATGATGTAGCATCACGGACGAGTCCTAGAAGGACGAAACAGCTGTATGATGTAGCATCACTGACGAGTCCTAGAAGGACGAAACAGCTATATGATGTAGCATCACGGACGAGTCCTAGATGGACGAAACAGCTATATAATGTAGCATCACTGACGAGTCCTAGAAAGACGAAACAGATGTATGATGAATCACTGACGAGTCATAGAAAGGCGAAACAGCTGTATGATATAGTTTAATTTATTGTTCGACTATACTGTATTGTATTTAAAATGTTTATATTCAAAACTGCTATTCACTTGTGAGTTTTGTTCACTCTTCATAATAAATCTTTATAAGATTTGATTACGAAAGACCTCTGTAAAAAGTATGAAGGAAATGAACCAGGAAAGGTAAATCTACAGTAATGTCATGTTCTCATAATGAGAACCAAATAAATAACACGGGAGGTACCATATACATGTTAAAGAGTATCAAAACATCTTAATTCATATCACACAAGAAATATACTAAATTCCATTAAGATTTTTTTCCCAAATAATATATTTTTACGATTTTTATTTTAACCTTGAACAAAAAAGTCCCCCAAAAGCAACCATTCAGTAGTGGACCCGATATTGAATTTTCTATATTTAGTATTGTACTGGTACGTGATGACGACTAAAATAAGCATTTGTATCTCACTATTTAATCTGAGGTGACAGGATGTATTTATGTCGGTATACCCAACGGAGTTTTAAAAAAAATTCTATGACACAATTTGCATAAAATATAGATAATTTTCAGCAAACTTTTGACCCTTAACGACACTGATGGTCCGTATTAAGGCGAACCAGTCAAGTGATGCAGTACAACTCCGTCGTCCTGACGAGTGAAATCGTCAAATAAATGCATATTTTTCGGTAACAAATTTAAACACTTTAAAGATACAGCACATTGGCAAGTTTCTTTAGTTGATGTTGAAAAAAAAATATTCCAATTCAGGTACCTGGTACTCCTGAACTAGGTTGTGTTTATAGAGGTATGACAATCGGATTTTTTCTGAGCTTAATTCTGTCGCTTTAACGGCAGTAATTAAACCTTTTCTAATGCTCTATATTTGAACATTTCATTGCACAAGTGTCAGGTGTAATCAAGCAGGTTATTTATGAATCATATCAATCAAGCCAGTCTCATGCTTTTAGAGTTGACCTATCTCTGTATCTACTTTAACTTTAGATATTATCACACATGAATATACACATAGAGACATACAGAATATCAACTGGATGTTAATTTCTCTAGATGGCATCGCTAATAAGCTGACGCATGCGAATGTAAAAAAAATATAATTTATTACATCAACATAATTGATGGTGTATGTTTTCGTGATAAATAGGATTTCTGCGAAAGACCTTTATTTGTTGTGAGATTTCATTATTTCTCCACTTATTGCTCGCTTCATTAATCACATATACCATACCCTTGTTAGAACACTTTAATTCTTCTTTGTTATAATTGATGTTACTATTGTTTATCTGTATTGTTACCTGTATATAAGTAAGCTTAACTACGACTATGTTTAATCATCGCCAAGACCTCATTGAACGTGACATCACTTACTTGGAATTACCAAGTTTCACATGGTTGGTGTTAACGTTGAAGCAGAAGGCGCTTAATCTTCCGGAACACATCTGGTCTTATCCTCCTCGTATTTTTTCATGAGCCTCCTTGTAAATATTTTTTGTCTTCAAAGTTTTCGATATTGTTTTGAAATCCGTTTTTTAACATGTTGGTACGTTCAAGATGTTCTTTACTATAATTGTTATTGTTGAATGTTGTAGAACAAAACCAGTCATAATCAAATAAAATTTGCGTTCGTGTATTTTTAGGCAGCTTATCAACTGATGCAGACATTGAGATGGTACTATATTGTCATTCTGCATACAGACGAAGACATTGGAAAACTCTATCTTGAAGAATTTGAATTACAACGAAAACAGACAAAAGTCTGTATAGGAGGGATCAAAGAGATTGCTATTAAATATGCAGACGACGTGAACGTGGTGAAAGCTGAGGTCAAACAATTGATCAATTATCTGGAAAATCAACAAAGTCACACTCTTAATGAAAAGATGGGGGTTGTGTATTTGGGAGGAACAATCGCGGCCAGGCATATCATTCAGAGCATTATTGACGAGAAGAGCACACAGGCTAGGAATCTACAGTGGATTATGTTGGCAAATATCAAAACAGATTCGGAGGTTATCTCAATGATTCAGACATCAGCGGAAAGAAACGATAAATTAAATATATTTCTGGTAGCAGTTTCACCGCACGGTTTTGTCAAATTAAACACATTTAAAGATTTTTTTATTGATATATTATCAAGTGGCGATCCCGATGGAAGATACTATCCTTGGTTTGAAAAATACAAGTCCAGAGTTTACTCCAACTGTTTACCTAACTGTAACCGACAGGCCCTGGAGCAAGGTTACCAACAGGATATCAACTCGGTTAGTGCAGTAGTAGCCGTCCTGGCTCTGGCCTCCGCCATCAAAAGTGTGCACTCTGACCACTGTGGGGACGAGATTGGTGTGTGTCCTAACCTTCAGAAAAAGAATTTACATGTACTGGTCCGAGACAAATTAAAATCTACTTCGATCAATCTTACTTCCAGTTCCACCTTCTTACCACAGGAATTGTCCTCTCTGGATACTTCTATCCTGACAGTGGACCGACATTTCCACATAGACGGGACAACCATGGTTAACTTCTTCAAATACAACAGCACCAACACCAGAGTGATATTCGATAAGGTAGAAACGGTGTGGCGGGGTGAATTTTTAATCAAGTGAGCAAGTGTGATGAGTTTTAAATTGATAGGAATTATTGACAGCGTTAGGGCAATAACTATCTCTTGTATTCCTTAGATCTGTTCTAAATCGGGCTGTTAGAGTGATTAGAGTTGCATTATGTGACTTACACAGTTAAATCTACTTAAAACTTGCTGCAAACATCATAAAAATGTCCCTGAAACACATATCAATTTCTATGTTTCATAATAACCATGTTTTAAAGTATAAACATTTTATACAAATTATGATAAAACACAATAAATATGTACATCGATTTTTCACGTGTTTTTTTTATATCTAACTACGTTTCACATTTTCATTTCACTTTGTAGATTGGAAATCCAGGAACGAATCTCCATCTTGGAAAGGACATGTTCTCAATATGTAAAGACCAGTGTAATGCGTGTATTCAAGAAGAAGAGGTCCAGTTCGCTTATGTGGACGGTGATATCCTTATCCTGGGATTGTTCTCTATACGAGAGGCCGATGGTAACTTTGGGTGTGGAGGTTTTAGAGATGACGACCAGGCCATTGTCACAGCGCTAGCTTTTATACAAACTATCAAACAGTTATCGCCAATAGGCGGGAAACGAATCGGGGGATTAGCATTTGACGACTGTTATGCATCACTGAACACTTCTAATTTCTTAACAGAGTTATTTAGTGGAAAGAAAACACTAAAATATAAAACATCGACATCTGAACAAATCATAGACATGTCTAAAGTCCGATTTGCTGTCGGTGCTGTATCGAGTGACGTCACTCTCCTTGTTGCTGATCTTTTAACACATTTGAATATACCTATGGTCTCTTATGGTGCTTCCTCTGCCTTTTTGGACAACAGACGCATCTATCCGTACTTCCTCCGGACTGTTCCGAGCGATAAACTCCAAGTTGATGGAATTGTTGATATTCTAACCCGCCTGGATTTTTCCTTCGTTGGTGGTATCTATTTGGATGACGCCTACGGGTACAATGGGATACTGGATGTTGAACAGAAGGCTAGTGACAATGGAATATGTATCATCGACAAACAAATGGTCACTAGTAACTACCAGAGTTATCCTCAGATTGAGCAGACATTAAGGCAGAACGTAGTCAAGGTGGTTGTATTTTACGGCATTTCTACAGTTGCCAAGGAGATGCTGGACAACTTCGATAACCCGTATGTATTTATCGCCAGCGAGGCATGGGGTAAAGACCCAGACCTCATCACACAACAGACGGGTTCGAAAAGTAGAGGGTCTCTGGTGTTTCAAACAGACACAACGCACCGCACAGATCATCACCTACAGACATATCTGATGTCTATTTCGCCCAAGAATGATACAGGTCTACCTTGGGTAGAAAAATTATGGGAAAATCTCTTGGAATGTGACTTTCCTTGGTCAACTGACAAGAAATACACAGGCAAACCCGAGTGTCCAATGACCGCTAGAATAAATCAGACTTTTGCATCTTATTTAAGCGATTATCAGCGCGTGATGCACGTGAGTCATGCTGTCAACGCGATTTGGAAAGGATGTAGTGTATCGCCCAAATGCTTAACTTCATCTATTGACAGAGTATTTGCTCAGCAGTTAACGAACTCTATCAAAAACGTTCAGCTTACAGCGATCGACGGCAAGCCCTTCAAACTCTTCAGAGAAGATGGGAACGGCTGCATGGGCCTTTCGATATTTAACATACAACAACAATCAGACAACAAATACGTCTATAAACAGGTAAGTATCGCCAAATTATACAAGTCTATGAAAAGGTGAGTATCGCCAGATTATACAAGTCTATAAAAAGGTGCGTATAGACAGATTATACAAGTCTATGTGAAGGTGAGTATGGGCAGATTATACAAGTCTATGAAAAGGTGAGTATCGCCAGATTATACAAGTCTATGAAAAGATGAGTATCGCCAGATTATACAAGTCTATAAAAAGGTGCGTATAGACAGATTATACAAGTCTATGTGAAGGTGAGTATCGCCAGATTATACAAGTCTATGAAAAGGTGAGTATCGCCAGATTATACAAGTCTATGAAAAGGTGAGTATCGCCAGATTATACAAGTCTATAAAAAGGTGCGTATAGACAGATTATACAAGTCTATGTGAAGGTGAGTATCGCCAGATTATACAAGTCTATGAAAAGGTGAGTATCGCCAGATTATACAAGTCTATGAAAAGGTGAGTATCGCCAGATTATACAAGTCTATGAAAAGGTGAGTATAGACAGATTATACAAGTCTATGTAAAGGTGAGTATAGACAGATTATACAAGTCTATGAAAAGGTGAGTATCGCCAGAATATACAAGTCTATGAAAAGGTGAGTATCGTCAGATTATACAAGTCTATAAAAAGGTGAGTATAGACAGATTATACAAGTCTATAAAAAGGTGAGTATCGCCAGAATATACAAGATTACAAAAAGGTGAGTATCGCCAGATTATACAAGTCTATAAAAAGGTGAGTATAGACAGATTAAACAAGTCTATAAAAAGGTGAGTATCGCCAGAATGTAAAAGATTATAAAAAGGTGAATATAGACAGATTATACAAGATTACAAAAAGGTGAGTATCGCCAGAATGTGCAAGATTATAAAAAGGTGAGTATAGACAGATTAAACAAGTCTATAAAAAGGTGAGTATCGCCAGATTATAAAAGTCATTAAAAAGGTGAGTATCGCCAGAATATACAAGATTACAAAAAGGTGAGTATCGCCAGAATGTGCAAGATTATAAAAAGGTGAGTATAGACAGATTATACAAGTCTATAAAAAGGTGAGTATCGCCAGAATGTACAAGATTATAAAAAGGTGAATATAGACAGATTATACAAGTCTATAAAAAGGTGAGTATCGCCAGATTATACAAGGCTATAAAAAGGTGAGTATCGCCAGATTATAAAAGTCATTAAAAAGGTGAGTATCGCCAGAATATACAAGATTACAAAAAGGTGAGTATCGCCAGAATGTGCAAGATTATAAAAAGGTGAGTATAGACAGATTATACAAGTCTATAAAAAGGTGAGTATCGCCAGAATATACAAGATTACAAAAAGGTGAGTATCGCCAGAATGTGCAAGATTATAAAAAGGTGAGTATCGCCAGATTATAAAAGTCATTAAAAAGGTGAGTATCGCCAGAATATACAAGATTACAAAAAGGTGAGTATCGCCAGAATGTGCAAGATTATAAAAAGGTGAGTATCGCCAGATTATAAAAGTCATTAAAAAGGTGAGTATCGCCAGATTATACAAGTCTATAAAAAGGTGCGTATAGACAGATTATACAAGTCTATGTGAAGGTGAGTATCGCCAGATTATACAAGTCTATGAAAAGATAAGTATCGCCAGATTATACAAGTCTATGAAAAGGTGAGTATCGCCCGATTATACAAGTCTATGAAAAGGTGAGTATAGACAGATTATACAAGTCTATGTAAAGGTGAGTATAGACAGATTATACAAGTCTATAAAAAGGTGAGTATCGCCAGATTATACAAGGCTATAAAAAGGTGAGTATCGCCAGATTATAAAAGTCATTAAAAAGGTGAGTATCGCCAGATTATAAAAGTCATTAAAAAGGTGAGTATCGCCAGAATATACAAGATTACAAAAAGGTGAGTATCGCCAGAATGTGCAAGATTATAAAAAGGTGAGTATCGCCAGATTATAAAAGTCATTAAAAAGGTGAGTATCGCCAGAATATACAAGATTACAAAAAGGTGAGTATCGCCAGAATGTGCAAGATTATAAAAAGGTGAGTATCGCCAGATTATACAAGTCTATAAAAATAAGAGTATCGCCAGATTATAAAAGTCATTAAAAAGGTGAGTATAGACAGATGATACAAGTCTTTTAAAAGGTGAGTATTGCCAGAATATACAAGATTACAAAAAGGTGAGTATCGCCAGAATGTACAAGATTATAAAAAGGTGAGTATAGACAGATTATAAAAGTCATTAAAAAGGTGAGTATCGCCAGATTATAAAAGTCATTAAAAAGGTGAGTATCGCCAGATTATACAAGTCTATAAAAAGGCGAGTATCGCCAGATTATACAAGTCTATAAAAAGGTGAGTATAAACAGATTAAACAAGCCAACAAAAAGGTGAGTATCGCTAGATTGTATTAGTCTATAAAAAGATGAGTATCGCCAGATTATATTAGCCTGATGTAAGTCTACACACCTGCAAATACTGAATTTTATAAAGCTACTGTTTCGGTGATGAATGTCATCAATCTTAATGATGCTTTATTTAACATTTTAGGTTGGGATGTATAGTGAGGAGGGACATCTCAATTTAGAAATGGACCAGATACAATTTTACGACTCGTTTGGGCAGCCATTGCAAATCCGCGGTGTTGAGGCTACGTGTAAACCTGATTTGTGTCAGGGTATCTGCCAGTTTGCGCCAATTACCCCCAACACGACAATGGTCCCAGCCACAGAAAGACCTGTCACTCCCACACCTTCCCCCGAAGACGGCTCCATTAGAACTGATAATATAGTGATGGGTGTTGTAATTGGGCTGATGTTTGTCATCCTTATTCTCCTCATTTTGTTGCTCTTCCGTCAACACAATACCAATAGAGAAATGTCCATTCAGAAAGCATCTAGTAAGTTTGTAAACATTGTATATAAAATTATGTGACGTGAGTTTTTCTTGCTCGTTAAAAGTATTCCTTTTCTTGGTAAAATATCGATTGACTTTCATCAACAACCAATATCAAATAGCACCAGAAATTGACCACGTATTAATTTGGATGTGTAGCCAAAAATACTAAACTCTTTTAAAAGCTTTGCAGTGTTTTTGTTTGAGGTCATAAAATGAACTATCTCTGTATTTATCCTTTGTTCATGTTTTTCAGTACAAAGCCATCATACTGCCAGCATGCGAAGTTTGGATAATATGTACGAAGAAGTAGGAAGCTCGCGTGGTACTTCAAATCAAGGTTTCGAAATGAATAATTTCAATTCAAGGGACTTTAGGGATGGGTCGTTTGGTAAGCCTAGCGGCAGCTTGACCAAACAGTCTTCCTCAATTGAGTATTCAGATGTGGTACAGAGTCTTCCTGATCTAACAAAACCAACTGTCCCACGAACGGCTTCATCATCAGCTTCCGGTTCCGGAGGTGACGCCAGTAGTGTTCCTTCTAGAGGAAGTCGGGCTACCGAGAAAAACAGTTCGGCAATGTCAGATACTTCTGGTGCCTCAAGTCTGGGAGACCGTAAACATCTGACTTACGTTACAGCTGGAGACCTTGCCTTGGTTGATGAGGACGTGCTCGCAACTCCTCCCCCGAGCTACTTGGAGCTGGATGAAGAGGCGGGCGCAAACCAACCCCAGCCACCTGAAAATATACCACTGCCGATAACCTCTGGGAATGTGTACAGGCCTGACCGACCTCAAACTCTTCCTGGGATAAGTGCTCACCAGCTTTCTAATACTCCATTAGTTCTTTCCCCTAATACACATTTACATTATCCCACACAACATGCTCATTCAGCAGAGCAGTTACAGTCGATGTATCTTCATGCATTACCACAGAGCCATCCGTCTAATGTTCCACAGAACCAACCGTCTAATGTTCCACAGAACCACCCGTCTAATGTTCCACAGAACCATCCGTCTAATGTTCCACAGAACCATCCGTCTCATGTTCCACCGAACCAATTCCTACCTGTAAGCCATGCTGTTAATCCGAATCAGTTATACCTGTTGGCGAACAATCAAAACCGTGAATCAGTCCTATATTTAGATCCAGTACCAACACCACAAAATGTTATGCGTAATGGAGGACATGCTCCTCAATCAAGTCCTTTAGTGATATTTGACAAGAATGGCGTCCCCCGTATATTTACAGAAAGTAATTTATCACAACACATAAGCGACCCTCCCGTTACTGTTTCATCACATCAAAGACCAATTCCAATGGCACACTTCCCAACAGAAAATAAACATACGGCCGCAGAACCAGGTCAAACGGACAACAAGTTACATCAGAGTATAGTCCCTTTGCAACATCCGGTATCTCCAATAGAACAAAATGGTAGTCCCAGACAACAAGGATCCATTCCCTCTACTATGTCTTCTAATGTTCACCGCCCTGTGCCAAGGAAGTCCTATTCGTCCAGTGGAAGTGGTTCAACCTCTCATCTCTCTCCTTCCTTTCTAGATGATGACGATGGGGAGGTTATTATCATATAAAATGTGCCACGTGATATTATTATGTTCTAGTTTCTGTTTACTTCGTGATACCATTAGTGAAGACAAAATGCACTTTACCTGAAGAGTGTACCGAATGCTGGGGAGTCTATAAAGTATCATTTATACTGAACAAATAATCCTACACGATGTTTTGTTTTGTGTACCTATGTAAGAACTGATAAAACACGTGATTGGCCTGGTCCCTAAATTGCCTGTAATGAGAGGTGAGGGGTTCTAGGCCTCTTTTGGTGGTACTTATTGATATTTTATGTTAATTAGTGCTCCAGTGCAGTTCTTTGTGGCAGTACTCTTTCTATGTATGTCAACGGATGATATTCTTGTTCATTAAAATTATCTTTAAATGATTTTATTAAGAATTTTCAAAGCAATCCTCTTTAGAATTGGCAAAATTGGAAAAGTCATGTTGCCCTCGGGAATATGTAGGCTTCATATTTTTCAGAACAATATCTGCATGGTGTTGGAGATTACTATTTAGGCAGTCTCAAATCTGTGTCTACACACCAAAAACTAGCTTTACAGGAAGTAACCTTTCCTAAGTGCCCACATGTGTTCATGTTTGTGAATTTGTTCCTAATTGGAATTGCTGGTTAAGTGATTTGTTACCGTGATGATGTCGTTCATTTTTTGACTGGTATTCAGAAATAAGTTCCTATGAAAGTGTAGTTCTGGGTTAAAATTAGTGATATTTTAGCAATTTTAGAGAAGTTTTAAGTTCGTAACCATAGTTATCACAAGTTAGATATCAAGGGATTTTACTGTTTCCTTTCTGGACTACAACTGCAATTGATATGTAGTTTATAAATATATATACATGTGTATTTTTACAACCAAACTGTAAATACTCTATATCTCAAACGTATTCTTTAATTTTAGGAAAAGCTCAAATTAACTCCTTCTGTCTTTACATTCAAAACTATCTAACCTTATTATCAAGTGGTCATATCTTAATTTTAAAAAAAACGATGGATTTCTGTGTTTTCTGTCAAGAGATAAAAAAATGTCGTGACATTTTTTAGACGGCAAGAAGTATACATCTTTGTTCTTCTGAATAATATATGTCAAAATATCACTCAAGTTGTATTAGCAATTCTTTATTTAGTACAATACGGTCGACAGTTAGAACATCCGATGTTGTAATTTGTATACCAAAGCACGTGCTTTTCAGTCTGTGGTACTACGTGCCGATGTCCTGTCGTGTATACCAAAGCACGTGTTTTTCTGTCTATGGTACAATGTATCGATGTCCTATTGTGTGTAGCAAAGCATGTGTTTTCCTGTCTACGGTACTATGTGCCGATGTCCTACTGTGTGTAGCAAAGCACGTGCTTTTCTGTCTGCGGTACAATGTGCCGATGTTTTACTGTGTGTAGCAAAGCACGTGCTTTTCTGTCTGCGGTACTATGTGCCGATGTCCTACTCTGTGTAGCAAAGCACGTGCTTTTCTGTCTGCGGTACAATGTGCCGATGTCCTTTAGTGTATACCGATGCCTTGTTGTGTGCCAACTAAGGCCTCCTGGTTCCCTTATATACCGATATATTTACCGGGACATGTATCGTATTATCGCCTTTTAGAAACAAGGTCTGTTGCAGCATCATTGATATTATATATTTGGTTATATGTTCAAACATTTTTATATCTACAAGCAATTTTCATGTATCATCATGGTGCCAAAACTGTATTAAAAATACTAAGAAATATATAGTGTGAAACCGTATATGTTTGTAATATATACACAAAATATATGTAATGTTGATTAAACAATAAAGAAATGTTCGAACCCGTTCTTCTTTCCTGACGAGCAGTTTTAGGCAAATATCTTTTGATATGATACCTATTACAGGGTTTATTGCAGTGTCGACAGTAGGGCTATATAAAGACTGAAGATTGGTACCTCGGTGAACAACATGCAGGAGGCTCGTGGCATGTGATCAACAACATACAAGGTACCCAGGGATCTTCACGTGATAAACACACCCCGTGGGGAGTATGGTTCGAACCACGCACTAATATAATTATCGGAGTTTGATGGTACAGAATTAGCCGATAATTATTTTCCCTTCAGTGTCATACTTTCCGATAGGGGGTGTTGTGAATGCACGTGCACGAGGTGTCGGTGACTGTCGGGTCATTCAGCGATAGTCGCTCCGACAGTGCACATGACTTGATTTGAACAACGGTATGGATAGTGAGGGCCAGGAGACACGTGGCAAAGGGGACATTTCCAGTACGTTAGCCCAACTCCTTGACGAAGTTAAGAGTCAGAAAGCAGAGCTGTGTTCCCTTAGGAATGAAGTACGTGGTTCGGCATTCACTGTAAGTTGCGAAGTTAAAAAGTTAAAAACGGACTCTGATTTTAATTGGCGTTTCGAGGGTAATAAAACCCAATACAAGTTCAATAGTGATATTTTGGACAGTGTGACACAGGCTGTGTGGGCATTGGACAATAACAAGCTTTCATATTCTCGTGAACTGTTTAGTGAAGTGTCTGACAAGCTTAAACAGCGTAACAAACTCATACGTATAGCCGATACCTCAGAAGGAGGGTGGGAAACAGTTCGACAATACGAGTCCCACTCAGTAGCTAGTGATTCTGACGACGAGAGCAAAATTAGGAGGGCGGAAGCAAGAGCCGTAAAGAAGAAGAAAGATGCGTCTCGGAAAAAATCTCAGTGGTTCAAGTTTGCTGGTACTGGTATTACTAGTGGCAGTAGCGGTGTATTGGGAGGCCAGGGAGCGGTTAAGGCGGTTGGACAGCCCTTTCCTGGAAGCAGGTACCCCAGAGGTCCCGGGGGTCAGCCTGCCTACCTCAGGCCAGGGACGTCGTTACGGTCGTATGGAGGAGGAGCATGTTTCAGCTGCGGTGAATTTACACACTTCCGACGGGACTGTCCTTACAAAGGAGGAGTAGCGGTACCAACGAAAAAAGGAGAGGGCAGCGATGACCGGAGATGAAATGGAAGATGAGTATTTTACACAATTTACACGTGATTATTACGAATATGAACAGGGGGGTAAGAAGATTTTGGTAAAAGGGAGGTTGAGAGAAAATTTTGATTTTTGGAAAAGTATTGGGGCTAATGAGTACATTTTAGATGTTATTTTCAGTGGATATAAGATACAATTTTATTCAAATCCTGAAAGTTGTATTTTAAAAAATAACAAGTCTGCGTTAACTGAATCTAGTTTTGTCGAAGGAGCTATAAGTGAACTTTTGCAGAGAAATCTAATAGTCAGGTGTAGTCAAATACCTCGGGTGGTCAATCCATTGACAGTTTCCATACAGAGTAATTCTAAAAAGAGATTGATTTTGGATTTACGAGTAGTAAATAAACATTTATGGAAACAGAGTGTAAAATATGACGACATCCATGTAGCACTGATGTATGATTTGATATACACTCGGCGTATCATTTTCTCGAGATATTTTTACCACATACCGAGTATTTAGGATTTTCCTGGACAAATGAAGATGGTAGAACTGTATACTATAAATTTTTGGTGTTGCCTTTTGGGTTATCATCTGCCCCATACATATTTACAAAGCTATGTCGTCCTTTAATAGCAAAGTGGAGAGGGGAGGGAAAGTTGATGTTGATGTATCTTGATGACGGTTTTGGATGTGGAAAAGATTTTTCAGAAACTCAGAGTTTAGCACATGATATCAAGTCAGACTTGCTAAAGTCCAGTTTTGTGCCAAAGGCAGAAAAATCGTTGTGGGTACCGGTTCAGGTTTTGCAGTTTTTAGGCTGTACTATTGATTCGGAGCGTTTTATTCTGTATGTTACAGAGAGTAGGGTTGAAAAGATTCTGTAAACTTTAGAGTATATCGAGGAGACAGTCAGGAAAAGTAGGAGGGTGCCAGCTAGGAAAGTGGCCAGTTTGGTGGGACAAATTATTTCTATGAGTGTTGTGATTGGTAGTGTGTCTCAGATTATGACGAGGTATATCAGCATGGATGTTTCACAGGCTTTTTCTTGGAGTGCCTATATTAAGTTGTCCGACGAGAGCCTATTACAACTTAAATTCTGGAGAGAAAACGTGAACAACATTAATGTCAAAACACTGAGTGAGGTTGAAAAATGTTCTAAAATAATATACAGTGACGCAAGTGGTTCTGGTTTCGGTGGGTACGAGGTTAATACAGTGAATGGTGTAGCACATGGGGTGTGGACAGAGGAGGAGAGCGGTAAATCTTCAACATGGCGGGAGTTAGTTAGTGTTTTGAGGGTTTTAAAATCTTTAGGAACCACATTAAGCGGTCATCGTGTGAAATGGTTTACGGATAACACAGGGGTCTGTAAAATCGTAGATAAGGGTTCTATGAAACTTGATTTGCAGTTAGTTGCGACGGACATATTTCATTCTTGCATTAAGTATGCTATTTCATTGGAAATGGAATGGATACCAAGGACGTTAAATGATAGGGCAGATTATCTTTCAAGGGTTCTCGAAAAAGATGATTGGGGAATTTCCATCAATAGTTTAAATATCATTATTCAGAGATGGGGAACACTTGACGTTGACTGGTTTTCATCGGAACATAATGCAAAGCTACCAGTCTTTTTCTCAAGATTTTGGAGTGAGGGCTCCACAGGGGTGGATGCATTTGTTCATTATTGGGGAGATAGTAGAGGTTTGTTCGTACCTCCACCTTGTTTGATTCTACGAGTTGTGAGAAAGATGATTTATGAAAAAGCACAGGGTGTGTTGGTAATTCCGTTGTGGAAATCAGCTGTTATGGTCCGTTATATCTAAGAAAGATGGTACATTTATACCACAGATTTCAGATTATATCGATTTACCTACAGCAAAGGAGTGGTTCACACCATGTAAGAGTGGTGTAGGAATTTTTGGTAATTCAGATCTGAAGTTCCGAATGTTAGCACTTTTTATGGACTGTAAAGTCATGACTATGGCGAATGGTTTACTACAGTAATTTGAGTGGTTCGTTGTGACTTATTTTGCACAGTATTAGTGTTACTAACTTATTTGCTGCTTGCCATAATTGTATTATGTAGTTACTTGTATGCCGTATTTTTGAATGAGACATAAGTTCATCTGAATTAGATATATGTATGCTGCTTGGTTGAATTAGATACATATATGCCGCATGGCTGAATATATACTAAAGTATATGCCGCATGGCTGAATTGGGCATATGTATGCCGCATGGCTGAATTAGATACATGTATGCCGCATGGCTTTATAAGATACATGTATGCCGCATGGCTGAATCAGATATATGTATGCCGCAGGGCTGAATTAGATACATGTGCTGTACGCAGCATGGCTAAATTCATGCATGTATGCCGTTTGGCTGAATTAGATATAAGTATGTCGCATGGCTGAATTACGATATATATAGTATATTTACAAGTGAAGCGTTGGCTAGGCATTATAATTGTATATAGTACAGGACGAAATAGTATGTTAGTGAGGTACAATTGTGGGATATTTGTGGTACATAACGAGATTTTAAATATCTAATTATTTTGATTGATTTGCTTGATTTTTAATTATTATTTTCCTTTTTTAAAGATGTTTTTTCAGTGTTACGCTGATGAGATCGAAGAGCTTCCGGGAGTTTTGTCTGGTGAGGTTGCCCTGATTCCGGAATTACTCAAAGATTCGCGAGCTGTGAACACGTCGAAAAATTATACGCGTGGATTTCAGCGTTGGAAACGATGGTTGTTGGCAAGTGGGTTATGAATCGGGGACGCTTTGCCGGCCAAGGCATTCCATGTTGCTCTATATTTAGTTTCGTTGGCACAAACTGCAAATACACCAAGTCCAATTGTGAATGCTTATTATAGTTTAAAGTGGTTTCATGATTTGTATGATTTGGACTCTCCTACTAAATCCAATTTGGTGAGAAATGTTTTGGAGGCGTCAAAGAGGAGATTAGCCAAACCAGTTGTAAAAAAGAAACCGATGACTGTGGACTTATTATTGTCAATGTGTAAAAGTAAGTTCAGTGTTGATAATCTGAAAAATCAAAGAATTATATGTGCGTGTTTTCTTGCGTTTGCTGGGTTTTTGAGGAGTGATGAGCTGCTACGTATCAGTGTGTGACGTCATGTTTGCCAGTGCATATATGAGTGTGTTCATTGAATCAAGTAAGACTGACAAATATAGAGATGGTGCATGGCTGATGATTGCTGAGACTGGGACGTGTTTGTGTCCGGTAAAAAATTTGAAGTTGTTTTTTGACTGGGCCAGTTTAAAGGAGAATTCAGATCAATATATTTTTTGTAGTTTGTCTGCAACCAAAGATGGTTATAAGGCGAGATCGGACAACAAATCTGTCTTATACTACTTTACGAGAGTTGTTTATTGAAGCGTTTAAACCACTTGTTGAGGATATTTCTCAATTTTGTTTGCATTCTTTGCGTGCTGGTGGAGCTACAGCAGCTGCCAAGAATGGTATCGAAGATAGATTGTTTAAACGTCATGGTCGCTGGGTTAGTGAAAATGCCAAGGATGGCTATGTGGAAGATTCTTTTACAGAACGTCTTAAGGTTTCTGAGAGTTTAGGCTTGTAAATTCAAAGACTAGTTTTCCCGTTCTTTTAGTTCAGTGGCGATTATGCGCTCATTACAATAAATATATTTGATATTTTCATTTTGGTGTTTGAGTATTTCCTGTCGGAGGGTGTGGTATTGGAGGGAAATATAATTATCGGAGTTTGATGGTACAGAATTAGCCGATAATTATTTTCCCTTCAGTGTCATACTTTCCGATAGGGGGTGTTGTGAATGCACGTGCACGAGGTGTCGGTGACTGTCGGGTCATTCAGCGATAGTCGCTCCGACAGTGCACATGACTTGATTTTAAAGATAATTTTCGATAAATAAATTTAAAACTTCAATAAACTGATTTTGTATGAATTACGGAGTTGACAGGATGTTTAGATTGTCGTGAAGTTGAAAGATAGATTGGTAAGTGAGTGTGTTATCAATGTATTTGTACTTACATTGTGAAACTGTCGGTCAGTGGCGATTATGCGCTCATTACAATAAATATATTTGATATTTTCATTTTGGTGTTTGAGTATTTCCTGTCGGAGGGTGTGGTATTGGAGGGAACAGATCTTCACGTGAGAAACACACCCCGTGGGGAGTAAGGTTCGTACCACACACTTCAGATCTTCACGTGAGAAACACAACCCGAGGGGAGTAAGGTTCGAACCACGCACTTCAGGACACCATGGCGACAACTGCAAACAAATTAAATATGATAATATGATACTTACCACTGTCCACATGATCCAATAAACTTGCAATATATGAAAAATTATCTCAAATATCGAAGCAACTATGACATCTCAGCAACAAAGTCTAAGAAGACAGTGAGTTACTATCAAGAAACGAAAAGTTCATGATTGGTAAATTAAAATGATTACGCTTACCGTGCAGCTTGGTATAATATTTGTGGTGTAACAATGAACAGGTAAAGATCAAAGCAATCGGCTCTGACAAGAGAGCATATAGTGAAGTGTATTTCCAATTATTGATGATTTCAGTCCCTTTTGACATAGTTAATAGGTTTGTTTTCAGACAACACATCACTAATATACCTGAACGTGAAGGACACAACAACAATCCCATATTGAGATAAAAATTTCTTATAAGAATACTTCCGAGACCTCCTCTTTATGAGAACGACATAAGAATGCTTCCGGGACCTTCTCTTTATGATATCGACATAAGAATACTTCCGGGACCTTCTCTTTATGATGACGACATAAGAATACTTCCGGGGCCTTCTCTTTATGATATCGACATAAGAATACTTCCGGGACCTTGTCTTTATGATATCTTATAAGAATACTTCCGGGACCTTCTCTTTATGATATCTTATAAGAATGCTTCCGGGACCTTCTCTTTATGAGAACGACATATGAATGCTTCCGGGACCTTCTCTTTAAGATAACGACATAAGAATACTTCCGGGACCTTCTCTTTAAGATAACGACATAAGAATACTTCCGGGACCTTCTCTTTATGATAACGACGTAAGAATACTTCCGGGGCCTTCTCTTTATGATAACGACATAAGAATACTTCCGGGACCTTCTCTTTATGATATCGACATAAGAATACTTCCGGGGCCTTCTCTTTATGTTGATAACGACATAAGAATACTTTCGGGACCTTCTCTTTATGATAACGACGTAAGAATACTTCCGGGACCTTCTCTTTATGATGACGACATAAGAATACTTCCGGAACCTTCTCTTTATGATAACGACGTAAGAATACTTCCGGGGCCTTCTCTTTATGATAACGACGTAAGAATACTTCCGGGACCTTCTCTTTATGATATCGACATAAGAATACTTCCGGGACCTCCTCTTTATGATAACGACATAAGAATACTTCCGGGACCTTCTCTTTATGATAACGACATAAGAATACTTCCGGGACCTTCTCTTTATGATAACGACATAAGAATACTTCCGGGACCTTCTCTTTATGATAACGACGTAAGAATACTTCCGGGGCCTTCTCTTTATGATAACGACATAAGAATACTTCCGGGACCTTCTCTTTATGATATCGACATAAGAATACTTCCGGGGCCTTCTCTTTATGATATCGACATAAGAATACTTCCGGGACCTTCTCTTTATTATAAGGACAGCCTCGCAACCATGGAAACCCAACCATTTCCTGTTCGAAAATTATTTGATAGGGTTTTAATATTGGACCTTGAAATCCCGTCAAAATAAAAATGTGCTCGTTTCTAACGGAGTTTTAACTAATATGTCTGCCACTTCCTTAACTACGATGATCGGATGACACCGTAATCATAGGAGTTATTTCCGAAGTACTTTGAAACAGAAACATCTCAATAGGACAGTTTTATAACATGTATTGTCAGCTTAACGTAACCAACTGTGTGAAATTATTTATCACTTCACAAGCATATTCTTATCACAAAATTTTAACTTTATTGAAATATTACCAATATTTTGTCTCTCCTTTGTAATATAATGGGTCACCTAGCTACCTAGCCACTTCCTCCTTGTTCACTGGACATCAGATTTGTCGGTTATTTTGTCTGGGTTTGACGTTTGCCAACATGACGACTGAAACGTGAAATTTTACCCCGACCAGTATAGTCCAACCTTTTTCAGGGTCTTGCGTTCATACTTTTTGTTTGTGTAGGGTTGCCAGGATGGACCTCCTGGATCGGTCGGGCCATTTCCGGGTGTTGTCTACATCCATCACATCCGGTTTCGCAGCTGCATCCTACAGCGGATTCCCACACAAGTCACCCTCAACAACTTCCGGTTTTCATGTTGAACATAATGTGTCGCATTTAGTATAGCGTTATTTTTTTTAGTCGAAGACATGAAGAGTTGCTGCAGTGGTGCGGGTCAGGTTTGGTTTTATCATTAGTAGTCAACAGTTTTGGTCTTTTTTTCATAAAATGAATTCCGATGTAGCTATAGTTGAAATGTTGTGTCACGGCAGTAAAGAGTTTTGTTGCTGGTTCTCGGGTGGTTTGACAGTAGCAAAACAACAAACTATGTATCTCAAATATAGTCTGGTCGTCAAATGGTTTGGCAGAAGTAAAAAAAACAACAAAACTCATAAGTTTCATAAGAGAAAATATATTTTAAAAAGTCTTAGCCAGTTATTGCATAATTAGTTTATGCATACATTCTGTAACATAATATTAAATATTAATCAGATTCACGTTAATAGTTCATACGACCATTTACGCCAGTGAGATCCTTTAACCAAACACGTGTAGCATATTAAAGTGAGAGGGGTACCGAGAGTATCGGGCCAATTAGCCGAGGCAGGTTCATCATTATAATGATCTACTTATAAAAATAACCGAAACTTTCTACAAATCTAAGAGTACAATAAGCAGTATGAAGTATTATGTAGTTCTATAAATGCGTTTCTAGTAAAACAGTTAACGATACACTGATGTGGTACCCCTTCCACATGATTTGTGCGTGATGGACAAGCTACAATATGTTACTGTACCAAATGTCATAAAAGACAGTTAAATTGGATACTTGGAGGCACCTGTAACAACTTCTTCCGAGGTTTAGTGGCTTTAAATGCTGCAACAAAAGTACATTTATTGAAACATACCCTGTAATAATCATTCCTCATTTCTTTTCTAGACCATAAATCGTCTCTGTATCATTAATATTTTACACTAGTTATTATTACATTCTTATAAACAAACTGATCGTGGTGAATGATTTTTAATCAATATGACTTAAATAAAGATATGCTACAAAACAAAATTACTTTCGTTCCTTTGTGTAAAAATCGGCTTGTAATAAATTAATCATAGATTATAAAAATATCTTTGAAATTGATTTTGTTGATAAAAAAGAGAACAACTACAAAAGGGAAAATTTTCCCTGGTAAACACAGACAAATGTTTTCACAGTGGAAAATAATATCTTTGCCTTCCAAATTTTCCCTGGTAAACACAGACAAATGTTTTCACAGAGAAAAATAATATCTTTGCCTTCCAAATTTTCCCTGGTAAACACAGACAAATGTTTTCACAGAGAAAAATAATATCTTTGCCTTCCAAATTTTCCCTGGTAAACACAGACAAATGTTTTCACAGAGAAAAATAATATCTTTGCCTTCCAAATTTTCCCTGGTAAACACAGACAAATGTTTTCACAGAGAAAAATAATATCTTTGCCTTCCAAATTTTCCCCGGTAAACACAGACAAATGTTTTCACAGTGGAAAATAATATCTTTGCCTTCCAAATTTTCCCCGGTAAACACAGACAAATGTTTTCACAGAGAAAAATAATATCTTTGCCTTCCAAATTTTCCCTGGTAAACACAGACAAATGTTTTCACAGAGAAAAATAATATCTTTGCCTTCCAAATTTTCCCCGCTAAACACAGACAAATGTTTTCACAGTGGAAAATAATATCTTTGCCTTCCATATCAGCTGAAATATGTTACCTTCAGAAGCAGCACGGATCCTTTACTGTGCTAATATTACTTACTAACATCCATATCACGTGAGCAAATGTTGATATTACTGGTCACGTTCAGAAATTTTACAAAAACCATCAAGACTATTTTTTCTACAGGGAACAATAGAAACAGGACACGGATACAGATTTTTGTGGGGTTATCAGATAACCAAATGATTTTCTTGATTTGATGAATTCGTATGAAATATTCTGATCGGTTCTAAATGTGAGTAAATAAGTAAATATCCCTGTAACATATTAACATAGGTATCACATACAGAGTGAGAGTCTACCCCTAGCTAAGTGATAAATGTACAATGTAGGTGGACATGCATAACAGTACATTCCCGATCCAAACTTCTGAAACACAGCCCAGACAAAATGATTAAAAATAATGGCAATTTTTTTAACACCAAATTAAATTTGGCAACACTTATAAAAACTGTTTTGGGGATCCCGGTAACTTTAAACTTGGCAAAAACCTACATTTAAAAGGGTGTGACAGACCTACAACAAACATATTTCATTATTCTTTGTAGATTAACCAGTAATAGAGTTTAAATGCAGTTTGTGATACAATATTGACACCTGTAAGTAACCCTGGTAAATACTCTCTGTTACATGTAAAATCGTTTACCTTTAAAGAGGTCTCTATAATAATTTAACAGTCACTGTAAACACAATATGAATCACATTGTAACAAATGCCAACACGACAAGAATCAACTGCAAATGAACATGAAAACGAATAAAATCCCCTCAAGGGGAGATAATCCACAAAAATATCCTGAGAAAAGATTGTACAGTGGCCTTGATCCATAAACTGTAAGTTCGTATGGGACAAAAAAATCCGGACCCAAGATCAGAAAAACAACGTCATGTGGTAGTGAAAAACCTCATCAAAGGTCACATGATGGTGTTATAACCAAATCAGCAGTTTTAAAACAAGGTCACATGATGGTTGAATAACTGAATCAATTTCTGTAAAGCAGCATCACATAACAGTTTCAGAAATAAATCAATAGTGTTTGCTGTTGTTTAAAAAAAAACCCAAAAGCTGTAAAACAAAGTTTCAAGATGTTTTGAAAATTGAATTAACATTGGTAAAAGAATGTCACATAGTTTTTTTTTTCAAAAATGAGTTCATTTGTTAAACAATGAATCGAGACCAATAAAATATCTTGTGACATTTCAAAAACTTGTCAATATCAGGAAACTGACATCTTGTGACATTTCAAAAACTTGTCAATATCAGGAAACTGACATCTTGTGACATTTTAAAAAACTGAATCAACATCAGGAAAATAGTCATGTGACATTTAAAAAACTGAATCAACATCAGCAAAATAGTCATGTGACATTTAAAAAACTGAATCAACATCAGCAAAATAGTCACGTGACATTTAAAAAACTGAATCAACATCAGCAAAATAGTCATGTGACATTTAAAAAACTGAATCAACATCAGCAAAATAGTCACGTGACATTTAAAAAACTGAATCAACATCAGCAAAATAGTCATGTGACATTTAAAAAACTGAATCAACATCAGCAAAATAGTCACGTGACATTTAGATAACTGAATTAGGCTCACATATTAAGAAAACAATACAACATTGATAGTTATAAATACCCGACTAAAGAAAAACGTCAAAAAGATTCCGATGTGATGGTAAACCATGGCAGAAGTAAGATCGGGAACAGAACTTATGGTAATGAGATCTGACCAAACACAAAGTCCGAACAGTCTTATAAATATGAAACAGATTCAAATCAATTTTTTGTTTTACATCGAGAGGTGTAAAAACACAAAACACGGGTCATTAGCACATCTGAGTATTTTACATGTGACCAAAGTCAACATTTAGCTTACATTTTTAGCTACAAGTTGTGTTGATATGCATATGAAGAAAAAAACACTATTTACATCATGTGGTGAAATTACCATTATAATTTTAACATAAATATACATAAATTATATGTACAAAAACAAGAAATCTAAATTTACAGTGTTTGGTGAAATACTCCTTTGGTAAGGACAGACAACTCTGTGTCTATTTTCACCTATATCTACTAATAACTGGAAGACATAAACAATATCTAGGTGTACAACATAGAGACAAATCTTAACTCAAACATAACCAAAAGTGTAAATGAATTGTTCTGGTTTTTGGTCAAGTGATGGAAGTTAAAACTTAGAAAAAATATATAAAACACAAACTATAGGTATAAATTGTGAGTGTACATGCCTAAAACTTATAAATATATATATATATATATATATATACGTACTGGCCTATAATGTACAACAAAGATTTTGTAGACTTGTTTTATCCTTATTCTACCCTTGGTCATACACCTGGAGCTAATCTGACACTACTCCTGTTACTTTCACAGAGAACATCGTCCACTTGTGATTTCATGTTGACGTTTCACAATTATTTTCAAACTAAATTCAGAAGAAAAAAAACTTCTGTTTTCACCATAATTTTCAAACTAAATTCAGAAGAAAAAAAAACTTCCGTTTTCACCATAATTTTCAAACTAAATTCTGAAGAAAAAACTGTTTTCTTGGATATATGAAAGTTTGATGACAATCCCATCAGAATTTTAAAATTCAGATGTGCAATTGGTAGCAATATAAATAAAAGCTGATATTGAGAAAAAAAAAAGACAAAAAAAAAAAAAAGACATCAAATCTTGGCCATAATGTCCATCCATTCAGCCTCATACATTTTAGCATGAAGGCTGAACAAACACAATGAGGAAGCAAGGCCTTTAGGTAATTTTGGAAGGTTTCTAGACTTTTTGTGCATTTGTTTGTATCTCCGAAAAAAAAATCAGTATAATATACAAATGTATATGTTGTTAAGGAGTTTTTGTACAATCTTCAATCTTTGTAAACGCTGCACTCAAAACTGGATACTTTCACAGTTTAAAACATTGACATATTTGTAAGTAAAAATTGAGATAATTCAACAATTTATAATAAAAAATATCAACAGGCATAAAATATAAATGCAAATTATCATAATGAAATGAACAACGTTTACAGCACTCCAAACTTTTTCATCATCCTTACGATCCAAATTACACCCATTATTGCACAATTACATCTCCTATATACACGGACGGAAACGTTCAATATATCGCAAATAAATACACATGGTCCACATATATACATACAACTCACACGCAACTTAACACAAAATGTTACCATGACGATGATGAATATGAATATTAATGAACATATGGGATGATTTGAAGTTTGATCAGGAGTCAATGGTTGTCATAAAGTGTTTCCATGGCAACCTGAAACAGAAATATCATCAAAATTTTAAATATAGGTCATGCTCTCACTGAAAAGATGATTCATCTCATTAAATTAATGTACTTAAACTGTGTCACTTTAATATACCTTACATAGATTCAAAAACATACTTTTGTTTTGATAAAAATGTTAAGTAAAGTTTTAAAAACATGTTTTTATATGTTTATTTCTAGTTCAGAAATTTAAAGAAGTCTATCATCTGTTTATGTTAATTAATCTGAGTTCAATTCAAGGAAGTACCCCGAAACAATCCTGGATAAACTTACCATTATCACAAGTGTCAGTGAAGAACCTCAAGTTGTAGCCCAGTGAACAGGTCTGGAGAGCAAACGGCACAGTAGCCTCCACACAGACCACGAACCACCTCTCCATTCTACAAACAACAAATCATTCATAATTAAACAGGTCTGGAGAGCAAACGGCACAGTGGCCTCCACACAGACCACGAACCACCTCTCCATTCTACAAACAACAAATCATTCATAATTAAGCAGGTCTGGAGAGCAAACGGCACAGTAGCCTCCACACAGACCACGAACCACCTCTCCATTCTACAAACAACAAATCATTCATAATTAAACAGTTCTGGAGAGCAAACGGCACAGTACCCTCCATACAGACCACGAACTACCTCTCCATTCTACAAACAACAAATCATTCATAATTAAACAGTTCTGGAGAGCAAACGTCACACACAGACCACGAACCACCTCTCCATTCTACAAACAACAAATCATTCATAATTAAACAGTTCTGGAGAGCAAACGGCACAGTACCCTCCATACAGACCACAAACTACCTCTCCATTCTACAAACAACAAATCATTCATAATTAAACAGGTCTGGAGAGCAAACGGCACAGTAGCCTCCACACAGACCACGAACCACCTCTCCATTCTACAAACAACAAATCATTCATAATTAAACAGTTCTGGAGAGCAAACGGCACAGTGGCCTCCACACAGACCATGATCCACCTCTCAATTCTACAAACAACAAATCATTCATAATTAAACAGTTCTGGAGAGCAAACAGCACAGTACCCTCTATACAGCCCATGAACCACCTCTCCATTCTACAAACAACAAATCATTCATAATTAAACAGTTCTGGAGAGCAAACAGCACAGTACCCTCTATACAGCCCATGAACCACCTCTCCATTCTACAAACAACAATTGCTCTGACTCAACAAAAAGGATACTTTTATAAAAACAAGTTTCTGATATCTAGGAAATGCACAAAATAAAAACTTTATATCCATAATTTGTAAACAAACCTTTTCCAAGTATGTATCCATATAATGTTCTTTCATAGTTTACTTTGAAAATATTACTTGAAATATTTCATTCAGTTTCAATGAAATCCTTGAAGAAAACAAAAATATCAACTCTATCATATGATGCCACAAAACTGTTTCCCAACAGATCATAAAATGGATGCCTACCTGCATGATTTGGATCTTTTTAGAGGAATGACGTCCGTGTAAAATCCAGGTTGTGTTTCTGGAGACAGCGAATCCTGTTCCTGTCAAGTTTATACTGAACCTTCCCTGTTATCACAAGCAATAAGTAAAACTATAGATTTATATTCTCAGATTGGAGCCTTTCGTAAAATTCTGACAGATAAAAGAATGCATAAATTCATGTAACAACCATTTTTGCCATTGAGAAAAGAAAATCAGAGTTATTTCCCTTGTTTCAGTCAGTCCGTATGGTAGAGGGCTGAGAAACCTAAAATATGACTTGGTGTTTACAGTGATTTTTTAACTTGAAACAATATTTTTTACATGATACAATAAAATGATGTTACCTGAGGACATTGTGCCTGTGAGCTGTAACAATCACCAGCGGTGCCAAATGGAATGATTTTACCACTTATGGAAGTGGCGAATGTTGTGTCTGTAGCTGTCAAATAAAATCTATCATCAGTCTCGCAGCCTTTATCACAAAAATACATATTTTATATCAAGTTTTAGCTAAGGTCATATGGACTTTTCTGGTATATGTCATACAACAAAAAGGTGTTTGTCATACAATATTTCACATACTGCATTTTGTTAATAAAACAAGTACATTAATCTGTTTAATATCTAGGTTCCATCTAAATCCTTTCAGATAACGGAATAAAAACGTTTTTTTATATAGAAATATAAGATTCATGTAGATGAAAAATAAAGTAAAAAATTCAACAATAGCTGAAGCAGAAAGATTTAAAATTTGAAACACTATATATTTATTAGCTATACTACTGTTAGATACTGTAATGTACAACATCATACTACCTTTGTATACTACAAGTAAATTCTACAGGTAAGAGACACAGTATTTATCACTGGCTGTACTTACTCATGATGCGGAGGTTACTGAGGTCGATCCTGACCTTAGAGAAGGATGTGTTTCCTGCCTCTCTGTATGGAGTCCGACGACACTTGCTACATGTGTCTGTTCGGGTACCATTGTAAGGACAGTGACCAGAACGTCGTAACCTATTAAACATTTAAAACAACATGAGACTTGATGGTAAAATGTTGAAGTAAATATAAGTGTAATTATGAAACTAACATTAATACCAATGTGTACGAAGGTGGTAACAGACATACCGTTTGTCGTAAACTTCTGAGTAATTCTCGCCTTCTCCAGCCGGCAGGTTGAGATATTCAACTGGTTCCTTCTCTCTCATGTCTCTACAATAAACCTGTAATACAAAAACAGTTGGTTTATAAGCTTTTAATTGCTCTCACGTTTTACTAATAAGACATACAATAATTATAGTCAAGTAGTGGTACCATTAAATACAACATTAATTTGGGCGTTTACCTGATTAAATAAGGAATAAGAGGTCATTCGCTGGAAACATTTCCACAACATTCCAGATCTGATATTCACAAGAACATTTATCCTTGCGTATTGTAAAAGTTTAGAATAGTCTTCCGGAAAATGTGGTATTATTGCCGACCGTAAATATATTTAAAAACAGACTGGTTAAATATTGGCAAAATCAGGAACTCCTCTATAATTATAGATCTAAGATACATTAACAAGTAACGTCACAATCACATTCATTTTAATTTTTATGTTTTTGAGTATGATGAAGAGGATCCTTTATCAGTTAATAAACATAACTTAAAAATCCCTGTGATACTTACCTGTATGAGTCTGTTTTTGAGAAGTAAGCTATAAGTGTTGTCATGTCTTATTGAAGTTTTTTCTCTAAGTTGCTGGCAGGACTTGGCATAACCTATAAAGGAATGTTATATATTTAATGTTTTCTCTTCTAACAGGTAAAGCAAACCAACATGTTGAAAACAAGGATAGTTTTCAAGCTAAGGGAGATAAGTCCTACCAAGTTATCACAGAACGATCTGCCAGTAGAACCAAATTCCTGGATTACTGTTTAAGATCTGTCTGAGGGAGCTATGACATGGTTCTAATTTATTCTCAAAATTTCTAATACCCATTTAGTCTAACTTTTTTTAAAAATATTAATTTTTTCAAATGAGATTTTTGACCTGATGGTCGATGTCACACACTTACATGGCCCTGAGTAGCATTCGTCCTTGTTGTCTGGCTTTAGCGATTCAGGGCAACGTTTCTTGGAGCGCCTCCTCCCTAAGACATCCACACAAATCACCTGCCTTCGTAAGAATCCCCATCCACAACGTGAGGAACACTGTCAAAAAAATACACACACATCAAATATTTAACCATAAATCATTGACCAGAAAACATATAAAGGTGATGTTAAAAAAAATGAAGATTTCTATACCGCAAAAATTAAACTTATTTATTTTATAAATAACAATCTGCTGTGAATGGCTACCTTGCCCCATGGCCCTACCACCCAGCGGTAACGGGCCCCACACTCGCCCATGTTGCAAGTCCTTTGGTCTGGAGGTTTGACAGTGGACTGACAGGTGAACGGTACTTTCCCAGGAAGGATCCAGCCCTCCTTGGTAACAGCCTGACACACCACCTTCCTCTCCTGTATACCAGCCCCACATGTTCTGTTGCACTGTAAAATAGCAAGACTTTCTTATAAACTATTGTAAATTATCCTCACCATACACAATCACATACTGTTTCAATGCCTGAATAACAAAAGTTTCTTATATCTGTGATAACAGCTTTTCATACTAATACATTCAAACTTTGACCAGGATATTACTGACAGTATAATAAAATGCATTGTGGTATAACAATACTTTTTTTAGTACTATAACTTTAGGGTATTCCAAATATGTAGAGGAAAATTGAATCAGGGAAGTCATTCAGGATAATCATTAGAATAAAATCTATCTGACAAAGAGGGACAGAATTCTCAAAAGTGAAAAAAATTGGATTAAATACACAAAAAGGTTTATCAGTTACATCTGTAGAAATCTGAAAGCAATCTATAGAAACTGAGGAAAAAGACTGATGGACAGAGGGACAGACAGACAGCTTGTTAAGTACCTAACCTTTGACCTCCATTGCTATCATTGGCACCATAGGTTAAAAAGATAAATATCTATTGTTTGAGCTTGACATCCTGACTTGTCAACCAGACAGGTGTTGATTACCTCTGTCCACGGTGACGTGTTCCAAATGAAGGGACAGGGGAACTCGCTACATCTTCGTTTAGGTTTGGGCCGTTTTTCTCCTCCACAGTGCCATTCTTCAACCTCCTCACTATCCACATTCACACAAGTCACAGACCGGATCTTTATACCAAACCCACATGTCTTGGAGCACTGGAAGAAGAAAAGATTTGTTTAGAGTTATGTCCCTTACCTTCACACAAAACAAGTTAGCTACTGGAAGTTATACATGTTTAGCTTTATAAACAACACTTGATAAAACAATTTTCAATCAACATAATATAAATCAATCTTGAAAAATATTATTTTAAATGAAAACAAATTTGAGGCAATAATTTTACAACAAGAATGGCAAGATATTTTTATTTAAAAAACCCACGAGGAGGTGATAAGTATAGATTTAATTACCTCTGACCATTCTCCTCTCTGCCAGGTAAAGTTAGAGCAGGGCTTTCTCACACACTCCTCTCTCTGTCTTGGCTTCTTCTTGTTTGCACACAGATTAGGATCAACTGTTCTTTGGTGCCTGGCTTTACATTTGAGGCCCCGGGTTCGAATACCAGTTCCACAAGTAACAGAGCACTGCAAAGAAATAAATAAAACATGTAAATCTCTAAGTCGCCATAATTCCAGTTATAGTTCTTGAGATGGTAACAAACATGAGATGTTAAATTTCTACTGGGTGCCATTATAAATATGTTATTGAGCTTAAAATGCAATAAACAAATCTGTGGGATTCTTTCTTAAACATGTCCCAAAAGTTCCCAGGCGATACCATTGACAGATGTTCAGAAAGAGAGGTATGAGGAAATTGTTTGTTGGAACACTGACAAATGATGATTTGTAGATTGTGGGCTATAAATACACACTGACCTTTGTCCATTCTGTTGCCTTCCACTTAGGACATCTTCCCATTTTACAACGCCGTGTGTTTCTTGGTTTCTTACCACGACATTCATTAGATGGGCGTGTGTTCTCCTCCTCATCCACACAAAGAACCTCACGCTGCTGGTGGCCACGCCCACAAGTTGCAGAACACTGTAACACAGGTGGAAGGTCAGGGTTAAAGTCAACCATAGTGCAATCAACATGTCCATGTACAAATATTGTTTATTTTTATCTCTACCCAGAAATTTAATCATAACAATAACTGATCATCATTTAATTCAAATCTTAAAAATGAACAAAAATGAAGTTTGCTTCCTCTCGATTCATAAATCAGGAATATATTAAGATTTTCCATCAAAATCTTGGCTGTTGTATCTAACATGCCAACTAAATATCATTGTATCTTTCTTATTGGGTACAATGCAGATAACCTTTTCTGTTATTAACCCCAAATTTGTAACGAGTCTTTGCTAAGAGACGGGTTAATTACTAGTAGCATGCAAGTCACTGTAACTGCTATCAGAAATCAATATAAACATTCTGAACACGGTGCAAGCCAAGTCCAATATACAACAATCTCTTTACACTTACATAATCTATATCACAAGAACAGTTCTATAATGATTCAGCTAAACGTAATCAAACTCTGTCCAAAACAGATCAAATATGCTACTGTGTATTTTTGTTTAATTGTTTTATGTATGATCTATTTCAGAGTTGTCTCCCTTACAGATATTTTCATTTGGTTCAGTGTGTTTTTCATTGTACCAACAGTTAATTCACCAAACACACATAACCCATTCATGAAAGATTTACATTTCCCAGCTTCTCATACCAGAACTCTTATGGGATGGAGATAGCAATAAGGCAGCATATAACTTTAAATTGATTTTGACACTAAGTATTTCTGTAACAAAATCACTCCCACTGAAAGTATTGCTGAGTTATCTTCAAGTTTCATATATAAACAGCCAAGTACCATGTGAAATTATAAATCACTATGATTATTACTGACAGTATCTAATATATCACAAAATTCCCATGCACTCCTTACCAAGACCAGAACAGGTTTAACACTTTAATGTCTTACCAATTAAAAAATGCTAAATAGAAACATTCTTGTTTTTACAAACAAATTGAGGCAGAGGATTGGTAGGATAGATGTACAAACAGGATGCTAGCAATAAGGACTTGAGAAAGCAAGGTCTAACAGGATATTATAGATGCCTCAGACTACTTTATACAAACAGACTACAGGAATATTTCTACCCAGACTCTTTAAAAACAGGATTCTAAAATCTACTACTAAACAGGGCTGTTAAGTCTACAACAGACTTATATATACACAAGATTATATAAAGTCTCAACACAGACTAGCAGTAACTAGACAAATGTAAATAGTCTGGCTAATAGATCTGCTTACACGGACATCTAGACAGACAGCAGTAACTAGACAAATGTTAATAGTCTGGCTAATAGATCTGCTTACACGGACATCTAGACAGACAGCAGTAACTAGACAAATGTTAATAGTCTGGCTAATAGATCTGCTTACACGGACATCTAGACAGACAGCAGTAACTAGACAAATGTTAATAGTCTGGCTAATAGATCTGCTTACACGGACATCTAGACAGACAGCAGTAACTAGACAAATGTAAATAGTCTGGCTAATAGATCTGCTTACACGGACATCTAGACAGACTAGCAGTAACTAGACAAATGTAAAAAGTCTGGCTAATAGAGGGATCTGCTTACACGAACATCTAGACAGACAGCAGTAACTAGACAAATGTAAAAAGTCTGGCTAATAGAGGGATCTGCTTACACGGACATCTAGACAGACAGCAGTAACTAGACAAATGTAAAAAGTCTTGCTAATAGAGAGATCTGCTTACATGGACATCTATACAGACAGCCAATCCAGATTCCTGATAGACTTAGGCTCTCAGACAGGCAGACAAATATAAAATCAATCCAGACTACTAAACAGACTTTGTCAGACAGACAATCAGACAGACAGGCAGACCTACAGACGGACACACAGACATACACTCAGACACTAAATCAATCCAGCCTACTGACAGATTTAAGCTGACAGACACAGGTAGACAAACAGACAAATATAAAATCATTCCAGATTACTAAACAGAGTTTGTCAGACAGACAGACGGATGGGCTGACAGACACACTGAAGCACCAACAGACAGACAGAAAGATGAGCCTGCAAATAGCAAGGTAATCTACCTTACAGACAGACCAGTCTACTCAAACAGCAAGGTAATCCAGCTTACAGACAGACCAGTCTACTCAAACAGCAAGGTAATCCAGCTAACAGACAGACCAGCCTACTCAAACAGCGAGGTAATCCAGCTTACAGACAGACCAGCCTACTCAAACAGCAAGGTAATCCAGCTTACAGACAGACCAGCCTACTCAAACAGCGAGGTAATCCAGCTTACAGACAGACCAGCCTACTCAAACAGCGAGGTAATCCAGCTTACAGACAGACCAGCCTACTCAAACAGCGAGGTAATCCAGCTTACAGACAGATCAGTCTACTCAAACAGCAAGGTAATCCAGCTTACGGATCAACTTTAGCTGATAGGCAGACAGACAAAATGACAGCCAGATGGACGAATAGACAAACTGACAGTGAAAGACATAATACTCAGCAGACAGTCATAAGTATGACTTCAGATCAAAGCTTCAAGCTTTACTTGTTTGTCCACTTTTTTACACTGAAAACATTCTATATGAAAACAATTACATAAAGAAGGCAGAATTTGGATTCCATTTCCCAAAATTTATATCACTAATACATTACTTATGGGGATCACATACAAATTCTGACTTCATATCAGGAGTGGACTTATTATAGGACAATGAAATAAATGAGAATTTTTCAGAAAACCATCATGTGTGGGTGGTCTTATAAACTGAGCTGATTGTGACATAAATACGGTATCAGCAGATCTGAATGGCTGCTTAAGAAATGTAAGTAACACTTTGGTACAAAAAGGTTAACTTATTTTGAACACTTTACAGTAAATAAAGATAATATTCAAACAGAATACCAGCTTAAATAACATACAGAAACAATTTGCAAAATGTGAAATTAGTTTTGATATAGACAAGGCAGGTTTGACTTATTTACTGTAATGGTAGAGGGTTCAAATTAATCTGATTCAATTAAACCTAAATATACACGAGATGTTATTTATATATATTTTCATTGTCTTTCAACATCCCTTTAATTTTCCCAGTATTCGCTGTAAGTCCAGTACACTTTTACCTATACTCTCTCACATTAATAGACAAGATCCTCGTTTTAAATCAGTCATTATATTTATATCAGACAAACTCTCATGCTTGGCAGTTATACTAAAATATATTGATGCTTTTTTGGGTTCTTGTTAATTGCCATTATAACAACTGCAGCCACTTGTTCAACTGTTTCATGCAATCTTTTACAGCTGTCAAAATGATATATTTCACAGGTATCAAAACATTTTGCCTTTTTAATTAAATATTTAGCAGAACTTAACCTATCAAACAAAATTTGTGATATGATTTTAAAACTAAACTGATACAGTTTATAAGAAACGTTTTTTCTCTATCTGTCAGAACCACATTGCTGCTTCCCTTAGTGTTAAACTTCACAGACGATGTATTGTACAGGTCTGTTGAAAAGTGGTGAACTATGTGATAAAAACTGATGTTATTTCATGAACTGCGGTGAATTTTACCCTCATGATCCTGGTTTTTATGTGTGCTTTACATATCAACAAAGGCGTAGTAATATCTGTACAGACAAAACCACACCCTTCTAAACAGCATTCTCTACTCGAGATTGAATCCGATACCAAAACACCTCCTTAGATTAGATTCTGATGTTCTTCACAGCATTTTGAGAAAAAACAGATCTGTTTCTAACCACAAGAAAGACGTTATCGTAAATATGAGGTTGTTGTAGGACTAATTATGGGTTCAGTTTTATTGACGGAATCATAAATTGAAGAGAAACAATATTTTGCAATGTTTATCTATATAAATGGACAATGTAATTTTTTTCTGACAGAATGTGATACATCATGTTGTTAACATGATGTACGAGTCCCAAACTCTAACATTAATGCTGGTCTTGATGGATTTTTCTCATTCCATGAATACCATGATAATTAACCAGTGATCCTCCGAGTAAATATGGTGGGTCACTCTTGAACATTGAACATGGCTGCTCCATCAAATACCAACTCTGGTTATTATGATGCAATGTCAAACTTCATTCCTATTTTTCTTTAAAGCCTTACATGAATGATTTTCTCAGAAAAAAATAGAATGCTTGTTGGTCAAGATAAATGTATGGTTGTCAAATTTATATATGGTTGTCAAGTCAATAAATGGTTGTCAAGTCAATACATGGTTGTCAAGTCAATAAATGGTTGTCAAGTCAATAAATGGTTGTCAAGTCAATAAATGGTTGTCAAGTCAATACATGGTTGTCAAGTCAATACATGGTTGTCAAGTCAATACACGGTTGTCAAGTCAATACATGGTTGTCAAGTCAATACATGGTTGTCAAGTCAATAAATGGTTGTCAAGTCAATAAATGGTTGTCAAGTCAATACATGGTTGTCAGGTTTATATATGGTTGCATTATGGTAATCACATCAATATATTGTTGTCATATCAATATACAGTTGTCATTATGATATGTGGTTGTTTTGTCAATGTATGTTGTCATGTCAATAAATGCAAGTCAATAAATGGTTGTCAAGTCAATACATGGTTGTCAGGTTTATATATGGTTGCATTATGGTAATCACATCAATATATTGTTGTCATATCAATATACAGTTGTCATTATGATATGTGGTTGTTTTGTCAATGTATGGTTGTCATGTCATTGTATGGTTGTCATGTCAATGTATGGTTGTCATGTCAATGTATGGTTGTCATGTCAATGTTTGGTTGTCATGTCAATGTATGGTTGTCATGTCAATGTATGGTTGTCATGTCAATGTGTATGGTTGTCATGTCAATGTGTATGGTTGCTATGTCAATGTATGGCTGTCAAGTTAACATATGTAATAGATGGTCTAGTTTCCATATGGATTCAAGCCTTTTCTAATGTGTTAAGGAGGTTG